TCTCCATGAAATCCTGCTTTATCAGTGTAAAAATCAGTAGGGACATCTTTTTAGGATAAAGTTGCCAAACTGCAGTGAAAACTGAGAGGGCTTCACTTTGAGGCCAGTCTTCTGCAATAGAGAACCTTGATAAATTCTGGAAATGAACACAATACCTCCCACCAGCCAATAGATTCTTCCCAAAGGTGACAATGTCTGAATTTAAACTACATTCTTTTTGGCTTACCAGGTATTCATCAGCACCAGAAATGGCTCCTGGGTCATGAGCCGAATCTCTGAAGATGGTTATCCCTGGGACATGGTGTTCCACACTAGGTTTAAGTCAATGCTCCGAAACATCCTGCCACCAATAGTTCGCAAATGGATGATGGAACAACAGTTAAATCGTTGGTTCAACCATGCAAATTATAGTCTGGAGCCTAAAAACAAGTAGAGTTATTTTATGGTATATTCATTGCTTAACAAGTTTGTCTGAAGCTGTGTTTCTTACAAAGATCCAAATTACTAACAGTGTATGTATTATATAGGTCTTAGAGTTTGAATTTTAAATTCTTTTCTATGTCTTGAAAACATACTTAAGAAGATGCTGTAGAAGTGTTATAAGGGGTTCCAGTAAGCAGAATTAGGCTTGGTGCAAAGAACTTTCTAACACCTAAAGTTGTCTAACATTGGAGAAATTCGCTTCAGGAGACCATGAGTTTTCTTACCAGAGGGATTTGGTAGGAAGCATGTAACTTTCCATCTGATAAGTTATGCTTTGATAACTCTATATCATGAGGGGTCTTTCCATGGAAGGTTTTTGGAACACAGTCTTTTCTCTTTGACAAAGACAAATACTTGCTGATCGTCACGTTCTATGTCATTGGTATTTTAAGCACAAGCAAAACAGTGTAGATGTTTGTTTTTCCTTAGGTGATAGCAGGCTACTTCCTTTAAAAAAAAAAATAGGTCTTTAAAACATTATAACAAATGCCATGGAGTTCTATTCTTAGATTGAACAAGACAGTTCTCAGATTTCCAACAAGACCTTCTTCAGAAATACAACCAGACTGCTCCATCATCCAGCCTATCATAGGTAGAGACACTGGATTTCGAGATCAAGAGATAGTACCAAACCTAGTTTGATCCATTCATTTTCATACTCTTGGTAGGGTTCATTATGAATTTAATGATTTTTCCTTCCATTCTTATGATCAGGTAGGAATTAAATAAAATAGCAAAATAAAGCTAAATACTATAAAGATGGTAGAAGAAGCAATAGGGCAATAACCACGAGTAACCTAATGACATGGCTACCTAGGTACTAATCATAAGTATTGTCATTTTAGGTAAGCCCTTTCAAAGTCTTCCTTTTAAAAAATGACTAACTTGAGCCAGGTGTTGTGAGCCACATCTGCAATCCCAGCACATGGGAAGCTGAAGTAGCAGGATTTCTCCATGTCCGAGGCCTACCTGGGCTATATTGTGAGCTCAAGGCCAGGCTGACGTACATAGCTAGACTGTGTCTCACAAAAATAAAAACAACTTAATGCTGTAAATACGTCTTCAACTAACATCGCCTACATGCTTTTCTATATTTCTGAGGGTCAGATCCTTGAGATGATAGTAAGTCAGAGAATAAAGGGTGGGGAAGCCAATTAATCAAGCTAGAGTTTTCCAGTCATTTGAAAACCCCGTAATTTTCAGGGCTACCCCTAAAACATGGCAAGAGCACTCAAGATTCCTTAGCAAAAGAGCCTTCTGAGTGTTTCTTTCCTGTGTATCTCAGATACCTTATGAAAGAGCCCATACTGAATGATGACCTTCCAAGTCGCATCCTCTATGGAGCTGTCAAGGTGAAATCAAGAGTGACAGAGCTCACAGAAACATCTGCCATCTTTGAGGATGGAACAGCAGAGGAGGACATCGATGTCATTGTCTTTGCAACAGGATATAAGCTATCTTTTCCTTTCCTTGAAGAGCCAGTTGTCAAACAAGGGCATAATATGGTCTCACTGTACAAATACATGTTCCTCCCTCACCTGGAGAAGTCGACTCTTGCATGCATCGGCCTCATCCAGCCCCTCGGCTCCATGTTCCCTACAGTTGAGCTTCAGGCACGTTGGGCAACAAGAGTTTTCAAAGGTGAGTGAGCAGCTTAACATCACCAATACGTAAGGTTCCAAAACTACCACACGGTTCTCCCTGTGCCTCTGTGCAGCATTTCACCCTACTTAGAAGGCTATGATGTTCCTGCTTCCAAAGTCCAGTTTTGCTCAACAGAAACTCATTGAAGATGCAGCTTGTGCTGAGACTCAGGGGCACAAGAAAAATTTAAACAACTTTTTTTTTTTTTTTTTACTTTAGGGAAGAGTCTACAGGGTGTTCAGGGTCTCACCACTAGATTGGACTCATAGTGATCCACCTGTTTTACAACCTCCCAAGAGCTGGGATTACAGGAACCCAGTCTCAATTGCCATCTCAGCACACCCTGGGGGTGGGGCCAGCACATGGAAGGGTCTTGCAGGCTCTTTAATCCACTAAGCTATTTGGCTGGCCCAGCTAAATGACTCATTTTAACAGGATGTGGCAAATGCTTTGATAGAGGAATGCTCATGCACTGCAAGAAGATAGAAGGTACTTGGCTGGGTGGGGTGAGGGGAAGGTCAAGGAAAACTTCCTGGATGACCAAGGGTCTCAGGTGCAGGAAAGAAATCAGCTGAGCACAGGCTGGGCATGATGGTGCATGCCTATAACCCCAGCACTTGGGAGGCTGAAGCAGGAGGATCACTGTAAGTTCCAGGCCAGCTTGGGTTAGAGACTGAGTTCAGTGCCAGCCTGAACTGCACAGTGAGACCCTGTATCAAAATGGAAAAAGAAAAGAAGAAAAGGAAATTACCTGAGCACAAGAAAACAGAGATGTGAGGCACATGGGGCATTACAGGCTGCATGACATCCTCAGAGTAAGAATTGAGGGGGCAGTGGGCAGGGAGGAGCGATTAATCTCAGGGAAGAAGGAGAGGACAAAAAAGAAAGAAGGGGTACAGGGCACAAATCTTTGCCAGGCAGGCGTTCAAGCTGTTGAGATATCTCCCCAGCCCATAGGACAGAAATCTTTGAATTCCACACTAAGGAATCAAACTGCACAGCAGTTCTTCCCCAATCTGGCTGCATCTCCTGGCCAGACTTGTTGATTAAGTCCGGGCGTGAAGCTGCAGAATCTGCATCATAAAAAGCCCTTTGGGAGAGACACCAGTGGAAGGGCACAAGCAAGGACAGGCCTTCTGGGTGGTATTAGCACACATTATTTCAGCAGCTGTGTAGAATATAGACTTTAATGGGGAGAATTACAGACGCTCAGTGACCAGTGAGAAATCAGCTGTGCTAAAATACAGTGATCCCTGGGCCTAAGCAGAGACACAAAATGAAGAGAGGACGTAAATCTGAGGAATCATCAAGGAGGAAGCCACAGGGCATAACTGCTTGCTCAGTGTGGATAGAGAGGAATCAAGGGCATGTTGCAGATCTCTAGCCCTGAAAATGAGGCAGATAGCAGCGCCGGCAGTGGAGGAGGGCTCTGCAGAAGAAGGTGCAGGTGTGGGCAGGCAGGCTTTGATGGCAGCTCAGGTTTGGAGTTCTTGAATCCGAGATGCCCAATGCCTGGCTGTGTGCAGGGGCCTTGGCCATTTCCCAACCCAAGTATGTCTTATGAGCAGGAGACAGAATCACAAGCACCAGGGGCCAGGGAAATAGCTCAGCAGCATAAGTCCCTGCCTGGGAAGTGAGAGGTCCTGAGTTTGATTCCCGGTACTGAAGAAAAGAATCACAGGCACCAGGAAGCTCTCACACTGGTGTTCTCTATCCCCTCCACCTGTTTCCACCCTCACCAGCTATAGCTGCGGAGAATAGACAAGAGGCTACTGAAGCAGAATTTAACTTTAGGCGACAACTGTTGGGAAAAGCAATGATAGTGCACCAAGCTCACTGAAACCCACCTTTCTTTTTCTAGGCTTGTGTAGTTTACCTTCAGAGAAGACAATGATGGAGGACATTATTAAAAGGAATGAAAAAAGAATAGAACTGTAAGCATGTTTTTTTTTTTTAATTTAAAAAAAGTCTATTTTGAGCAATGGTGCTCAAAGCAGAATGATCTAACTACCTAGACTAACACAAAGCTATTCAATTAAAAAGTAAACTTCTGGGCTACAACCCAGTGTCACCGAATCAGAAGCTTTGAGCTAAGTGGAAACGTACGTTTTTACATTCTTCCTAGACAATTCTTTTACACTGTAGTCTAAGACAGAAGGATAGAAACTGTACCACAGCAGAATTCCTTTTATTCTTGGCTTCATTTCATTTCAGTTTTATATAATGCCTGTGGGAGAGTGTCATCTTCTCAGGTCACCCATACTCTGGTCTGAGAGGGAGTGGGGTGGCGCACTGATCGTGACGTGGCCTGAACATCTCTGGAAAGTTACCTTACAGTGCCCACCCAGATAAATCGGGGAGGGTTTCAGGTATGAAGGTTCAAGGATTTGTTGTTTTTCCGAGGCAGAACATGGTTCACCAGTGACCAAGTACTCTTGGAAAGTTCCCTTGAACTTCGTACACCTGGGCAAGGGGTTATTTTTATATTCGAGTTCCAGTTCGCTTGACATTGACTGGGACACCTACTGCACACCGACCAGGTCTGCCAGGTACTTCAGAAATTTAACATGGAAATGTTAAGCATTTCCTCTGCACTGACACTGAGCTAGGCTTCACAAAGCGGTGCTGTCTCCCAAATCTCTGCAGCAGGCCAAGCAGTATGCACTTGCCTGGAGGCTTGCAGCTGCGTGATGAACACTAAGCAGAGAGTGCAGCGTTCACTCTGGCCCCCTCCAGATTGAACTCATGGCTTTGGGAACTCACGGCTGTGCAGGACACGGCCTGCTGTCAGTCTGAGAGATGGGCCCCCTGACAGGATCAACTCACACTCTCACCACAGGTTCATATCAGACCCCCGGCCACCTACTCCTTTCGTCATTTGTTACAGAGTGAGAACAGTCTGTGACTCTGTCCCATTCACATTCCTCGTTCAGGTTTGGAGAAAGTCAGAGCCAGATACTGCAGACCAATTTCGTGGACTACCTGGACGAGCTTGCCCAGGAGATAGGTGCCAAGCCAGACCTCATCCCTCTCTTGTTCAAAGACCCTGTGCTGGCTGTGAAACTCTACTTCGGGCCCTGCAACTCCTATCAGTACCGTCTCGTGGGGCCCGGGAAGTGGGAAGGAGCCAGACATGCCATCCTCACCCAGGAAGAAAGAGTACTGAAGCCTCTGAAGACTCGCTCTGTGAAGGCTGCTTCCACCTCCCCAGCTTGTCTGCTGCTGAAAATCCTGGGGCTTCTCGCCATTTTTGTGGCCTTTTTTTTCCAGCTTCTTTGATTCTAATCTGTCAGCATGACACCTCTAGCTTTATTGTCTCTCTTGTTAGCACAGATTCAAGAGAACAATATGCAAAGAAAAAATATTAAAGCCGTGCTCTAAATTTTAGAGTTATAAAGGACAAGTAAGAGAAGTGATCGCAGGGAATTGGGGAAATTAGGCCTATGTTTAAAACTAAAGTTATGAGAAATGAAAGTTCTTTGCTCTTTTACCCTTTTCATAAATTCCTAGACTTCCAAAAGTACATAAACTAACAGGGCCAGAGGATAGTGTTCCAGCCTTAATATGGTTTAAATTAGGTGGAAAATATAGAATTTCACAGGATGAAAAGCAGCCCCTAGAGCTTAAATTACTGAAAAACTCAAAATGGGGTAAATATTTAAAACTCTCTCACAACACGTTTGCTGGCATAGCTTTTGAAAGTACCAGGGGTGAGAATGAGAAAAATAAATGTACAAAACAACACTGATGCTGGTCTCATATAGAAAGCTAGCAAATAACCATTTTCTTGCTGCAAAAATAAAATAAGCCATAATAGCTAACTGAAAATACATGTATGTATACACAGATATAGATACATAGTGCTTGTCATAGACTAGACATTGTATTATGCGGATGTTATAAATATTCTAATTCTCACAATTCTGAGATGGGTATGGATATTGTACCCATTTTACAGATGATGAAACTGAGCTTCAAAGCCTTTATGTAACACGAGCAAGGCCACACTGCTGGTCTTCCGATGGAGTTCCAATTGGCAACCAGACTTGTCAGATTGGAGAACTGAGGGTCATACCTTTCCACAACAGGCTTACTTATAAAAACCTCATTATTGTTAATGCACTTATTAACAGTTTATTTCATGAATTATAATACAAAGGTTCACTGTGGAGGGCCTTTACATAGAAAACGGCACTCTCCTTGCACGTGTGAGACAAATAATATCATGGACAATGTTTGCTCTACAGTTTAGCTAAATAAAAAAAGTAT